TTCCAACAGTGTTGGAAGTCACAGCACTGGTTCATACCAGGTTCATTTTTTTCTTCATCCTTCAACAATGAAACCTACAAATTCGCACTGTCGACCCGCGTTGAGCGTCACTGAAATCCGCTCGTACGACCTTTGCCATGGACGAGTTCAGAGCAGTGTTTACTTCTATTTATTTACTTTTAGGCGATCTTGTCTGTATTTCATAATTAAAAAGATTATTCTCAAACTACTTAAAATTACTTTTTAGGGAATGGATAGCGTGATCTTATTCTTCCATATTGGCTACGATATGAGCTTTATTTCAGGAACCACATAGACATTCGAGTCGATGCTCTTGACCATGGAAACCCTACTGTGCTTAAGACATATCAACTCTCAAATATATACCAATGTCACTAAGATTGTTGCAGCCAAAAGGCTATGTTGTGCATACCGAACAATACTGAAGATTCTTAACTCCGTCCCATATTAAAAAACAAGTGCAAAGAAGTTGACTGGTTTACATAAGATTGTTCTGAATATATAGATCATTAGATGTGAGTAGGAATCAAGTATAGACATTCGCAAATGTATTCTAACGACCGAAAATTGTGCACACGTCTCTGAGCACACTTATTTTTTCAAATTACTGCGAAAAAGGACAGTGGTATTTTTCCTCGTTGAGTAAATTCTATTGTTTTGATCGTTATTAACATATCAAGACTACTGTTTTTATACTTTGATTGAATTTCTTTCAGTAAAAGTATTCTATTAGAGTATCATCTTTGATATCCTAATTAGTTTTATCGTCGGCACTCCAGAGTACCTTTGTTTTTCTATTGTGTCTGTTAGTACTTTGGTCCTAACTATTTATAGTTTTTTTTCTACTTGAAGTCAACACTCACCTTCGCATCCTAAAATGACTGGAAGATGCAACAAAAGCATTTGCCACCGCCCAGGATGTCGATATCCTGTTGGTAGCGGCATGCAGTGCGATGAGTGCAAAGGTTGGTACCACGATGTTTGCACGAATCTAACACCTGCAGCTTTGAAGCGGTTCAGTAAAAATGGGTGCGTATGGCTATGTCAACAGTGCTGTTTGGATGCAAATAGCCTGTTAAACGAGGCCATCTCGATAGTAAATGCCGCAAAAAAGTGTCTGGGCAAGCGCGGTCGGGATACATCAGTCAGAACTCAATCTGTCGACACGCAGATTGACACAAGGCAGGCCCAAGTGAGTCCAAAAACTGCCGACCCACACTCTACTAAGGAGGAAGAACATCCTCCAAAGAGGACTGTTACAACCAGAAACTCGCGCAAAAAAGTCTCTTCTGTCCCTCGTAACAAAAATGGTACCCAGAAGGGAACTTCTGGAAGCCGAAACCGCAAGGCTCGATCGGTTTCCAGCGCGAAAGATGACCCAATCTCCCAAGTCGTCTTAAATCTTCCGGAATCCCACAGTACGCCTGACGCGACTGTGGTTACCACTCCAAAGAACGTTGGCGATTGTGTACGGGTCGTAAGAAAAAAACGCCAAAATGACGTAAAAGGAAATCATACCCCCACCAAAAGGGTCGACAAGCCGAGGTCTGATCATAGTGACAGATCAGTCATTCTCCATAGAGTCAAGGAGAATGACAACTTAGAACCGAAAGCTCGTTTTGAGCATGACATTGTGTTGATAAAACAACTACTCAACCAAGTTATGCCCAAAAACATCCACGGAGTCACCTTGCTAAAGGTGTATAGACTAGGAAATCTAGCGCATCTGAGACCAAATCAGTCTAGACTACTCAAAGTCGTTTTCAAATCCCCAAACGAACGCGACTTAATCTTAGAAAATGGACACAAATTAAAGGGTTCAGGAGTTTTTCTCCGTAAGGACTTACCGTTGGCGGACCGTGGTAAAAGACGGGAAGCCAAAAAGGAACTACAGCTCAGATTAGACGCTGGCGAAAAAGACCTGAAAATTGTAAATTTTCGGGTTGTGAGGCTTCGATAGAGGATGATGCCGAAGCCACTCTGGGTGAAGCACGAGGCCACCTAGATAGGCTTCGGATCTGTTATACCAACGCCCGGAGCTTACTGAATAAGCTACCGGAACTAGGTATACAGATTGACTCAACTAGGCCAGACATAATCGCAGTCACAGAAACACGGCTGACGCCGTCTATAGATAGTAGGGAACTTGATTTCGAGGGTTTTACATTAGTAAGGGCCGATAGAATACAAACGCGTAAAGGAGGGGGAGTAGCTCTATTCATTAGGAATGCTATTCCATTCACCATTATCGACAGTGTATCACATGAGAGTGGGACGTATGAATTAGTTTGCTGCCGCCTGAAATGCAGGAGACAAGAGTTGCTACTTAGTTTGATCTATCGCAGTCCAAGCTGTGAGGCAAACGAGGTCCTGCTAAGCAGTCTCAACACTTTATCACGAAGTGATCGATGTCTAATCCTAGGGGACTTTAATGCTCCCATGGTGGACTGGGGAAATCTGCGGACTGAATCGTCAGCAAACTCCTTCGAACAGGAACTAGTTGATACGGTAATCACATGTGCCCTAGTGCAACACGTGAAGGAAGCAACTAGGTACGACCCGGGTTCTGCATCATCCTTACTAGATCTTATATTGACTCATTATGAGGATGATGTTGCAAACCTGGATTACATGCCACTCCTAGGCAAAAGTGATCATGCAGTTTTAAGCTTTGACTTCCATATAACTGTCGATCACGAGTACGTATCAGCCCAATCCAGACCTAACGTCAGGAAAGCAAACATACCAGACATCATGAAATCAGCATCATTAGTAGATTGGAAATTAGACCCAGAGTCATCAATCGAAACGGCTTAGGACGTATTCCGGAATTTATACTTAAAAGTTACCACTCCCCACATCCCTTGGACTACACCTAAGAGACCAGGAAACTCCCCACCGTGGTTCAGTAGGGAGGTTCGCATCCTTCTCCGTAAAAGAAGGAAAATGTGGGACAGATTTAGGTTACTGGGGACTGACGAGTCAAAATCTCAGTATCAAAAGGCTCGAAATACCTGTGCCTCGACCCTCCGTAAGGCCAGAAAGCTGTACGAAGAGAAAATCGTTAGGGAATCCATAGAATGCCCTAAACGCTTGTATTCGTATATAAACCAAAGGACAAAAAGAAGAAGAAATGTTCCTTCACTATGGGGAGACAGTACTGCCACATCACTAGTGGAGGACGACTTTGGCAAAGCTCAAGTATTCTCTAAATACTTTAGCGATGTATACACCATAGAAACACCCTTCTCACCAGTCCATGAAAATCCCCCCACACAAGCACTGGACAGCGTAACCATTAAAGAACTCGATGTCTTTGGTCTGCTAGTTAAGCTTGACATAAGTAAATCCACTGGACCCGATGAACTGCATTCTAGGTTACTAAAGGAATTAGCTAACTTTGTTGCGAACCCTTTAAGTGTATGTTTTAATCTATCCGTAACCCAGGGTCGTCTACCAAAAGACTGGAAGAACGCCATAGTAAGTCCAGTCTTCAAAACAGGTACAAAACATAAGCCTGAGAATTACCGACCAATTAGCCTAACTAGTATGGTTGTTAAAATCTTAGAAAAGATTATTCGGAAGGAACTGTTAAAGTATCTCGATAAAAACCGGATCCTTTCCGAAAAGCAGCATGGTTTTAGAACAGGTTCTCTTGTCTCACAAACTTATTAGTCGCTCGTGAAAGCTGGTGCGCTCTTAAGGACCAAAAATTACCTATAGACGTAGCTTACATGGATTTCAGCAGAGCTTTCGACAAAGTTCCTCATAACCGGCTGTTATATAAGCTAAGGAATGTCGGGATTGGAGGCAATCTATTGATGTGGATAAAAGACTTCCTAGTTGGGCGTCAACAAAGAGTAAGGGTGAACTCCAAGTTGTCTAGCTGGGAAACTGTGCTTAGTGGAGTCCCCCAGGGTACAGTTTTGGGGCCAGTGTTATTCCTCCTGTACGTAAATGATCTCCCTCGTCTACTATCGTCATCGGTCTTACTCTATGCTGATGATGTCAAGATATGGAGAGCGATACAAAGCAAGGGCGATAGCTTAGAACTTCAAAATGACCTGGAGAGATAATCTGAATGGTCCCAAACCTGGCAATCGCCGATAAACACTTCCAAGTGTATTGTGATGCATATTGGCCATCAGGGTACTGATACATACACGATGAATAACACTGAGTTACCTATTGTTCAGGCACACAACGACTTAGGCGTCATCGTCAGTCAAGACTTAAAGACTACTGCACACTGCCGTGCAATAGCCGCCAAAGGTTTTAGGACTTTATGGTCCATACGCAGGGCTTTTAGGCATCTCGACGCTAAGACGTTTCTGACTTTGTATACAGTGTTCGTACGCCCTAAACTTGAGTACTGTATACAAGCAGCTAGCCCTTGCCTAAAAAAGGACAGTGAACTCTTGGAAAGGGTTCAGAGAACAGCAACTAGGCTGATTCCCGGAATAGCGAAGCTCCCGTATGGTACTAGACTGACCAAGCTAAATCTATTCCCGCTGTCATATAGAAGAATCAGAAGCTACTTGATTACAGTTTTCAAATTGCTTAATGACAAATTTGCACTTGATATGCCCTCATTTTTCTTGTCTTCCAAAACAGAAAATCTACGAGGACACTCCAAAAAAGTTCACAAGCCCAGAACGAATTACTTGTCAGTTGACTACCGACTTTCCCATCGAATAATCAACGAGTGGAATTCATTACCTCAGTACGTGGTTGAGGCTCCATCCGTCGACTCCTTCAAAAGAAAGTTGGATCAGCTGAGAGACCATCATTGCCAGGACTAACACAGGCCATCAAGCCTTCTGTTCTTTCCAAACTGAAACTGAAGTCGGGTGGCTAAACTACCACCCACTTGATATTGCCAAATACATAGAATAATATAGAGACAAGAAGGTGGAGGAGCAAAAAAGCCGACTCGTTTATGCAAGTTTGTGCGAAAGATACTGTGTTTGTTTTACTCTGCTTCTCTGGTAAGCAGCTTTTTAAAAGCGTTGCTAATGTAAATTACTTTAAACATGTTTCTCCATAAGTCTAGGTTATATAGCTTCTAACGTCCCATGAGAGTGCGAGTTCGATAACATGATAAAGAAACCATTGATATTGCGATGGCAATGACTGAACTACAAGCCAGGTAGTAAAAGCTTTCAGAATAAATAATTATTTACTATTTACAAAATAATGCATTTAGCAGCGATATCCGCCCTAAGTCAGCACTCGTGCAGATTACAGAGATTCAGGAGAAGACAGTCAATCCGACGCCTGTGCGTAAACGGCCATCTGAAACCCTAAGTGATGAATTCCTAACTGAGGAGAGACTTGTATACGTTTTTTTATTCTATTTACATTTATTTAGAGGGAGTTGACAGGATTTAGCGATTTGAGCATGGTTTTGTCTCTAGATCTTGAGGTTGACATTGATCGTATATCCGTGGCAAACTTCGGATCATATTTACCAAACTTGAGACATTTGAGATTATCTAATAGTAATATTCCAGCTGTTCGGTGAGCTTTATGTCCTCATTTAACCATATGTAGAGATCTTGGGACATGTCTCAACACTGTGGAGGTCATTTGGATGCCTCGCTGTTGTCTTGTTAGCCTTGATGGGTTATCAAGTTTTACAAAATTAGTAGAATTATACGTAGCTTTCAATGGAGTATCGGATCTTAGTCCATGTGCAATGTTGGACAATATCGAAGTTATAGATCTTGAGGGGTAATTTTCTACATCTTCTCTAACATAACAAAGCAACCTGATCGAAGACAAAAGCAGTTTGTCATATCTTCGTCTCTGTCACAAACTTACATCTCTTACTCTTGAAGGAAATCCTTTTGTTACAAAACATGGTGGAAAAGTGGTAAGTAATAGTTTGATTTATAATGTCTTAGAGGTACAGGAAGGTCGTGCGAGAAGAATTACCACAGGTATCCATCCTTGATGACATTTCAATACAGGACAATCCTACGTCACATTCAGGGGAATATGATATAACCAAGTTCGATAGTGAATGGGAGTATATAAACATCCTCTTGAAAGAATTCGGTTTACTATCTAGTAAAACGGTATGTTGACTATTCCACAAGCTCTTTAAGATCACGAAAAGCATATTATTGAATTTGTTTGAATAAATTTAGTCGTTAGTTTAAGAACAGGGAGTAAAGAAATATAAATATTTCCTCAAAATACCTTCTTGCTTCTCTACAAGACTCTGTTTTGATTATTATCTTGCACGTTTTATGTATATGATTTGCGATAACAAGATTCTGATTTTTTCTAGTCATTAAAAAACTGTATAATGTACAGTTGTAAAGTGTACTCGTGAAAAAAACGTAATAAGAGATGTTATCTACAATAATAACTTTCGAATATGATCATTTAATTTACTAAATTATAAAACGTTTACTTGTACACCATAAACTATTAATCTAGCTTCTAAGGAGGTAGTCCGTTTTTGTTATGGATAAGAGATGTGATTTTGCTTGTTTATTTTGCTTTTTGTACGGTGAATGTATTCTTATCTGAGCGTCCACCTACTGACCTTTTCTGTTCAAAAATTTAAGTGAATTATCACGTTTCTGCTTCTTCATAAATCAACCTAGCTTTTTAATTACTCGAACAAGTATTACACTTGATTCGGATTTGATGGTGTTTTAGTCAGGAAAAAGATGTGTACGCTTATGGCTTTAACATATATGTAGAAAATTTTGAGTTTATTAAAATCAACTACCCTTAGAGCCTCAATATGTTTTTGGCTCTTAATTGTCTGTTAAGTTTTGTCGGAAAAATGTCCATAACCGTATATCGTGTTCAAGTTTTTTCCCCTAGATTCTAGAGATTAATTCGCTGAGAAACTTATTATATAAAGATCGTAGAAAAGGTTTTTCAGATATATGTAGTTATTTTCTTAGGATATTAACACTGTAATTTTAACAAAGCGGTTGGTTGAATTTTATCTAATTGTTTGGAAGACGCCAAAATTGCACATACCCAAAGGTGTAGCAGCATAGATAGTCTCTTATAAAAGTAATTATTCTATACACAGTTTTAGTTATTCACAAATATTCCACTTATTTACAGAGCTGCTTTGTTTCCTTAAACTCAAAGGGTACAAATAGAAGATTACCTACTGTGACTACTTACAAAAGTTAAGTTAATATCTTCATTATTATCTGTTTTATGAGGACTCAACCACATTCAACAATTTTGAGGAATCAGCTTACTAAAAAGAGGTAATGGAGAATAGTGACGTAGCGAACGAGAACACAGGCGGGGTCGACCAAATGTATTTCAGCACAGCATTACAGAATATCGTGGTGAAACTTGGGAACCACACAGTAAATACTTTGTTTGCAAAATATTCATCAATTGTCTCAGACTTCATTGTTTTCACACCAATCACTCTCTGTTCTCACTCTCTTCTCTTTAATCTTCTTAATCTTCTGCCCCCAGGCATTCCACTTTTGACTATTGATGCATACTACCTATATCTGTTGACATCAGTAGCACACACCACAACATCACCATACAAAGCTTTCCTTATAATCTTGGAAAGACGAGAAAATTAAATAATGTTGATAACATTTTCTCATTCCAATAAAGACTAATGGAGCTCCTCGTTATGGAACTTGAGGTCGGTTTACCACATTTATTTGAAATTGGTTTGAAAGTAAAATATGGTAAAATTTAAAGAAACTAATAATTTATTGTTAAATATTCAAGATGTTAGTAGGTTTTATATTGGGCTGGGATTCACAGGTCTAGAATAATCATGGCCTTAATAATTTATAATCTGCACCTATAAGGATATAATTTTGTATATCGACAATGGAGAAAAACAAATTTGGAATCAAGATGTGTAAGTATCATATAAATACAGGATCACAGTGTTGGATGTTTGTCAGTAATAAAAACAAAGGCTTAGGCAGTTTTATGCCCAATCATGTTTAATTTTATTTATAATTAAAATTTTTCACAACTTTTCCTGATTTATTCATCACAAAGAATTTGCCAATGCCACGAAATAAAAGATGGACATTATTAGAAGACTTTGTACTTATTCTCTCCTGTAGCTTAGTTTTCGAATTTAAAAGGAGTTTGGAGGTGGATTTTCAACAAATTATTTCGTTTTCTTCAGAAAAGTATCGTAGACGGGGAAAAGTCAGGATATCCTCTGGTCACTGGAGAGACAATAGAGGCGGGTCGTTCAACCTTAGGTCTAAGACCAACCTCAGCATTGAAACAGAAGTATCAGAAAAGCATTATACAGTTTACTGAACCTAAGGATGGTTACAACATTCTGAAGCTTTCTAGAAGTTCATCAGTAGTGATGGATAAGGAAGGTGAGTGTGACATTCTTTCATAATTTTTCATGACAAAATATCACAATTTGGCGCCTACCGACATGATAACGTGTTACATCAATGATACTTTCTAATTCTCACTTCGCGGGTTAGCGGTTTGTGAGCTCATAAATTTATATGTTTATAATATTTTAAAAAGCGATTGCACTATAAGACGACATGCAATCTACCGATTTTTGATTTAAACAAAACCAGCCCACTAAATTAAAGGCGTTTCCTTAGCTAAAACTATACATATATATAATTCCTTTTATTATTCGTCTAGTTAAATTGAATGAAGAAGAGCTTGTTTCTGAGCTTACAACAGGAAAAGTTATATGTGGAGGTATCAGTGCAGCACTGCGTTATCGAAGATTTTCACCCCTGGCAGGTAAGATTGGAAAAATAAAACCAGCTTGTCTGAGATTAGAAAGTGGAAGTGCAGCTAGTTCAGCTTTGGACAATAGTTGTATATGCAAATTAAAAACAGGAAATCTAAATCAAAATGAACCTACTGACCAACAGACCAACAATATCACAACAGTTTTGGATCATGAAACAATTTCGAACGATGAATTTTATTTACGTAAGGAATGTGATATCGTTTTGAAAGAACTCGCCGAGTGGAGAAAACTACACTCAGAGTAAGAGTACTAATTTTGATTAGATGATTAAACATTTATTGAGTAGCGCTGTTAATGCTGATGTTACTAACTTTATTTCAGTTTGTAGCAGAATAGCCATGATAAGACTATTGTAAATGCTGTTAGAAGTTACATGGATCAATAATACGATCTTGAACTAGATTTTCCTAAAGTTTAACTAAAAAAACATATATATGTACATACATATATAAATATACGATTGAAATTATCAAATGAATCACAGTAAGTCTGCAAGTGCGGAAGTATTTTGAAAAATAACAATGTTAGTAGGGATTTTAGGTCTCTCATATACAAGTCTGAGTCTGTTAGTCAGGATTTATGCAGGTCTGATTTGACCAAGTTAGTGGTTAACTCGGCTCAGCAGCTCAGTTTTTAGCAATTGGGCTTTCAGGAGAAGGGTAATAGATTTGATTTTCGTCGTGAACATCAGTATATCCTACTGATGAGTCTCGGATGGGACGACATACGGATCTTGGAGTCTACTGCTAGCGACATACCAAATATGTTAAAAATGAATGTGTTTTACCTAAAGTGTTACAATTCCTCATATATGTAGGACATGAGTACAACCGTACGATTTCGTTCACATTGTTCAAGCTAGAAAGATAAATTCCAAATACCACTGATGTGGTTGTAGTGTCCTAATGGCAGGAACTCAGGGTGCTAAATATATAATGCTATTTCCTTTTTCACTGTTTTAGCACCCATAATCGGTTGGTTAGATAACAGCAAAAGAATGACTTACATCATAAAAACATAATTATAGTTAGTTTTTCGAGTTTGTAAAGTATCAACATGCAGATATTGTCTTTATTCATTATGTAGGGGATTAAAAGTCAAAGCTTTTGGTAGTCAATAAACAAACTAGGAAAGATGTATACCCTGTAATAGTCAAAAGTTAGTTTCAGTGCTGTCCAGGGTCTGAGCTTCTATGTAGGATATCATAAGTGACATCACAGACTGTCGAATCCAAGAGTAATGGTAAGTGCATGCTAAGTGAATAGGAACCTTGTGTGAACAATGAAGTAAATCTATTCATTCTTCCCCCATCTCGTAGATCCCGAGCTTTGAGTTTACTTTATAATTTTTATTCTGCGAATTTGTCCTTACGTATCGAATCATAATATGTATGCTAAATCTTTGGTATTATTACGGATAACGTTAACACTTTTATTCTGGGATTTGTTATGATAATTTCATCTCATCGTAGTTAAAAGGTGAGGTAGCTTGTGCTAGTTTACATGTGTGACGGATTCTCCGTTGCCTATGACATGTGAAATGAAGTGAAATGGAGTCAAAAATTGATGAATCTATATATCTGATCTTACTGTTTGTGTCCTTGAATAAAAGCACAAATGATAACTTTGTGAAATCCCAGAAAAATATATAAAAGAACAAATTTTAACCATTAATTATCGAAATCGTACTTAGCGTTATTTCTACAGGGTTTCTTATAGGGTTTTTGCAGTCCTTGTTATTCAGTTCTTAGTAAACTCATCTACCCTAGTATCCGTATACACGCCGAGAAATATTGTGTAATAATCATTACAAAATACTCATAATATTGGCAAGGTCCTTTAAGAATATGTTGTTTTGAAGTACAAAGAAATCCAGTCTGTTACTGACGTTAAATAAAAAAGGCGACAAATATTCTTTCCTTGGACTAATACATGTTTAAAATACTTTTGTATAAGATTCTAGGCTTTTGAAGTTTTCTTTATCTGTGGCTAAATTCTATTATCTGTTATTCTAGTCAGGTGAAGCATGGTTTCTTTAATAAAGTTTCTGTGCTCATTCTTTTGTACGTGTACATGATTTTTAATTTAAAACGTTTAAGTTGGTTTGTATGGCGTAAAAGAGAAATTTTTACTTTGCGAAAAAGATAGATCTTTTGTCACTATATCTGTCACTAGCTCGAACTGTGATGACTGATCTCAATACTTCTGAGTACAGAATGTTCTCCGTGAAGTCTACTACTAACTACGACCATGTGTAGGCAAGACATATATACAAGGAATATCGAGTTATTTTTAAAAATGGCTGTGAATCGTACAAGGTCTAGTCAACTGACTAGTTAAAATTTCAACAATCAAAATATGTATAACGACTATCAACAGTTAAAAGTCACTTTTGCTCAGGAGTTTGTCTTATTGAGACTAGGTATCGATGTATGCTAAGCACTAAACATACAAAATGATTTCAAAAGTTTCTAATAATCGTAAGCAAAACCTTGTCTTATCATCATGCAGAAAGTACGTTGAAGAGTTACAGTTACATAATTTCAAAGAACTTGTCTATGTAGTGTTATCTACAATTTCGATTGCGTAAATATCTATTTTTATGTACAGGAGATTGTATCTGTTCACTTCACCGGTTGGTTTGAAATCTTTCTTACTGGTACACATATTTTGTCATTAAATGAATAGTGACAACCAGATAAAAAAATGTAATAAGTTAAGATTAAGAATGCAACAACGTTTACTCTAATGAAATACATTTTACTAAATGTATGCAATATATTTTTTGGAAGAAATCAATAAGAATAAGCGAGGATTTCAATCATTTAGGTACAATACTTTAACGAAGCTGATATTCAATTTCCATTTATCAAGCTCAATAGTCTCAAATTCCTTAGATAAGTACTAAATATTCACGACACATAGATAGTAGTTTTATTTGAAAAAGGGCTCTCTATTCACAAATGTTTATTTTACATCTGATAACATATGTCTATTTTATATAATATAATTTGATTAGTTCCTAGTTTTGTCATTATTACTTAGATCAAAACTACTTAACTCATGTAAAAGTACAAAGAGAAGAAAGAACAAAGTTACAAAAGCAGATTTGGAATGTCCCTCAGTCATTTTATCACCTAACAGTGATGAAAATACATTAGATAATCATAGAGATGTAAAAGAGGAGTGCACTGAAGATGTTGTCATATCAAATAAATCATTAGAAAATTGTTACCAAAAAACATATACAACGCATAAAAAGAAGCTTGCGAATTCGAATCAAAATCAAAATCATAAAAATCCAGCACCGTTTAAAATGTCAAACGAAATCGACAAAAGTCAAATTAAAATTAAACAAGTAAGTTTAACCATTATTGCTTTCTTATAATGTAATGTTAATACTGTCTTCACTGTCTAATAATGTGTTAGATTAATTTACATTATTAATTGCCATTGCTTAGATGAACAGTAAAAATCTGGCTGTAATGAACTGTTGTTTTATTCTTATTTAGATCTTCATAATTAAAGCATGAGTCAATTGAAGCTAGACCACCATGGAATGGCCGTTTCGTACTATTATGAGACTCCTCAGCAGTACTCATCCACGATCTATATACTGGGGAGTTCCATGATAGGACGAAACAGCCGTCAAGCAGTTCTTCCAGGTTTTCCATGGTGGTCTAGCTTCAATTGACTCATGATTTGAACTATGAAAATACTGAAATATCCACAAAAACCCCTTCTGATTTATTAAGATCTGCTCGACAGTGCTCATTCAGTGACACGGTCTGCATTCACAATTCATATGTTTGATCATGAACTATTATTCATTTAGTATTGTTTGTTTGAATCTTCACATCGATGTGTTAGGACTGCAACTGGTCAGTCTCTAATTGGCATATGTGCATACTGTGCGTATTGCCTCGATATAGCCTTAATTCACGGGCATGGTAAGCAGAGATGGATGGTGGCTGGCAGTGGAATCCAGGACACGCGTTTCGTCCTATTTGGGACTCGTCAGCTGGGTGTGGCTGCATCTCAGAGTTGATGTTCACTCTGGGACTCGAACCCAGTACCTTTCGCTTCAAACGCCATCGCGTTATCCACTTGGCCATTGACCCCATCGCACAAGAAAGTGGCTATTAGGACTCAGTGACCGAGTAGATAACGCGATGGCGTTTGAAGCGAGGGTACTGGGTTGGAGGCCCAGAGTGAATATCAATTGTGAGATGCCGGTACATCCAGCTGACGAGTCCCAAATAGGACGAAACGCGTGCCCTGGATTCCACTGCTAGCCACCATCCATCTCTGCTTACCATGAACTATTATTATTATTACAATTATTATTATTATTATTATTATTACTATTATTATTATTATTATTATTATTATTATTATTATTATTATTATTATTATTATTATTATTATTATCCGAATACGCTAGAAATTATTTCGTCGTTTAAAATAAAAATATTTAACAAACCATCTATCTACTAACTATTTGTAAGTAGCGTGAATAGGTTAAGAAAAATAAAGTTTTGCTACATAATAACAGTTGTGAAATATGAGAAGGGGTTTTGTGGAGATTTAGTATTTTCATAGTTGAAAGCATGAGTCGATTGAAGCTAGACTACAAAGGAAAACCTGGAAGCAGTAGACTGCCGTTTCGTCCTATTATGGAACTCTTCAGCGTTGTGCATCCACGACTTCAACTAGTTGTGAAATATTTAATTCAGTTAATTTATTATTCCCCGTTTATCAATTCATAATTATTAGAGTAATTATAAACACTAGAATATAGTGATACCACTTATATTTTAAATTATACTCTGAACTTAAAGTTCATTTAAAATAAAATTGTTTTTGTTTTGTTTAGTCTATTCTAGGTACACATTTTAAAGGTTCATTAGATAAAATGATCGAAATTTATCTATGTAATACTCATTGAATAATACAATATTGACAAGGTCATTTATAAGATCACGCCATAACATTCGATAATTCTGGATATTTTACACCTTCATAAATGTTTTACGTTTTTTCATAGATGAAATCATCAGTGAATTGAAGCTAGACCACTATAGACAACCTGGAAGCACTGGACGGCCGTTTCGTCCTATTATGGGACTCCACAGCAGTGCGCATCCACGATTCCGCACTCGCGAGATTCGAACCGGGAACCTACCAGTCTCGCACCAGAGCACATCGTTTATTCATATCGTGTTGCAAAAATTCACTAGTTTAGATTTATACTTTTAACTTATGTTAGTTAATACAATATAGATATATATCATACAGATTAATCTATGAAGTTTAGTCGTTACTGAAAACCATCATTAACTTGACTACTAGACCGCTATGGGAACATTTTAAATACCTGATGCCTAATATTAACTGTTAGGTGTATTTTCGTTTAGAAACCAAAGTATTAAAACGATAAAACATAAGCGTTCTAGTACCATTATAAATGTCTGAAGTATGTAAGAAGTCATTTTATACTAGAACATATCTATAGTTAAGTGTTTGTTCGATTATAATGCCTCGATACTTTAATTTAAATATTTAAATAGTAATAATTTTTCTCCATGACTCATGGTATACTTAAGTAATGAGTCCCAACTGATGAAAATCCTGGGTGTAAATGTTGTTACTGATCTTCGTGAAACATAAAACATTATAGGTTATATTTATGTCATGTCTAACCAAAGGAAGAATGATATTCGAACTGAAAACTTGGTGAGTGATGACAAATCTTTTGTCTCTTCTTCTAAACATATTCATGGATAGTGACTAGCAGTGGAATACAGGACGCGTGTTTCATCTAATTTGGGACTGGTCAGCTGGATTTACCTGGATCTCAGAGTTGTTGTTCACTCTAGGACTCGAAAACAGTCGCGTTGTTCACTCAGCTACTGAGTCCTGATAGAGACTGACCAGTTGCAGTCCTAAATATCAATGGGAAGATTGAAACCATCGATGCTAAGTGAAACGATAAAGTGTGTTTTTCATTCAAGCTCAACATATTTACTCAATGTTTTCCCTACTCAGAACGAAGTCACATTTTATTGACTTTCAAATATTTAATAAGAATAATATGATAACATTGAAACGAATGTATTAACTTCCTTCTGTTTTGTAGAAAATACTTTTACAATACTAAAATTAGTAAAAATACTACTTATTTATTGAGAATCATTGTTTCTAACGTCATTCTATTCCATTTTAAGTCGGTGGTGGACTTTGACGAATAAAAACATTCCACAATATTCTATTTTCTGTATGTGACTCTTTATTAACTATAATCGCATAAAGTTTGTTAGCTTCTAATGATTTTCATGTGCTACAAATGGTATTTATCACAGAATCATTACACATACTTTAATAAAAATTAAGATAGTTTTTTTATATATAACTAGGTGGTATTGTAGTGTGGTCTACTTATATCCATATAAGTAGTATATGTCGATAGTCAGACAAAGAATGTATTTTTGACAAAAGACATATAAGGAAAGAACTGAAATGAAGCGAAATTGGTAGGAAAATGCATGAACAGTAGAATTAGGGATGATGAACTGATATTTACAGAATGAACAGTGAAGATTGAGACAATTGCTTGTTATTTTTCAAATTAACTGTTAATTGTGTGGTTATCAGAATTTAGTGAGATAGTCTGTAATTTGTGTCTAAATACGTTCGATTGTCCTCACCAGTGTTTTGTTCATTACAGTATGTTATCGTAAGTGATTAGTGAAGAATAAATGAAAATCTGCTACGATCTGTATATATTATTAAGCCTATTGATAATAGTTCCTTTTTAGTTGCTATGTAATAGGATCTAAATCGCTAAATTTACATATCAGTTCATATGGTGTCTGAGATGAAATAACTATGTTTAGGATGCTTAAATATCTGCCACTTGTCAAGATACCCAATAAAGGAATTAATATTTACAAATCTTATGTGTTGCATACTGACATTAGGTTTTTGATCATTACCAAATCAGTACCAAATATATGATAGAGTTTCAACATTTCAGGTTAACGAAATAATGTAAACATAACTTCTGATTTTATTACATATCCTGAAAACACCTGTTTTTGGCCACTATGATGAATAAACTCAGTGTTACACTACTGTTTGAGTATGATAATTATCTAATACAACCTATATTGAGGATACAAGTAGATAGCATTACGTAAAGTATAACTTTCTCGATTGTGTGATCACAAGTTTGTTATTGTTCTCTTCAGTGTTTCCCCTTCCTTGTAACTTCGTTTTCTTGACAATCTTCGGCGTTCCGTGGTTAGAGACAATGGACAGACAGCTCTAAACTCTAGTGTATTGTAATGTTGAGACATTTAGAATTGTGGCTACATTGTAACATGATCCAAAAGCACTTCATATTATTAATAACTAGTGACTAGCTCCAAAAGGCGGTTCCTTGAGTTTTAGTGAGAAACCATGACCATTCGAGTTCAACCACGTCGGGTTTGAGGCAGTTATTTACCAACATTATTGATTATGTCTTGGCAATGTCTCAAATTGATTGAAGCTGGACACATTAAGCATTGAGTGATAACTCAGTGATGTAGCGATGAGAAGCTTGTTGCAAGTTCTGAAGATCTTATATTCAATCCTCAGTGGGATCGTGAGTATACACGGCTCAGGAGTCCTACCCTAAGACGAAACAGCTATCTACTTCTTCTTGATTTGCAATAGTTTCCCGAATACGTTCACTTCATGTAAACTATAATCATCAATAAAAGTCAGTAAACATTAGGCTACGTATATCATTGTTAATAATAAATCACAAATTAGTGGATACTAAAAACTAATAGTAATTTAGTCAGTAAGTAAACCGTTAGGTTTTTAGCATAATGTTACTTCGTCTCACTAAATATAAAATAATGGCAATCTTACCAATAATAAGTTATTGGATATAAAGACTGAGAGTTCACAAATTAGTAGGCTCATAGTTTAAACTTTACATTTACGATTAATACTTAAGAATTTTTCTATTAATGTCATTGTTTACATGTAAAATAGCATTCATTACGCTTTGACCTTCCACCTCCAGGCATTCCACTTTCGATTGGCGATAAATACTACACACCACAATCTTACTCAATCTTGAGTTTCAACAACCAATAGGTGGACATTATTCATCTTAATCTAGTTTTAAAATGCATGTTCATCATAGTTAAGTATGTGATTATAAACGTTAATTGTAAGACTGATTTAAAAAACCATGATAGAAAATATAAGAATTATTCATGTCATTTTAATAGTTGAGATCAAGAATCAATTGTAGCTAGACCACCATGGAAAACCTGGAAGCATTGGATGGCCGTTTCGTCC